CGAGTCTGATGACTGATGGCAGCAGGTGGGCGTCCTTGTCACGTCAGTTCTCTCGGCGAGCAGTGCAGGGGCAGCCCGGCACTTTGTTCTCTCCGACCGGGTATGCACATAGTCCCTTCTGGGGAAACTGGATCGACAAAAACCTCGATAGTTTACGAGATCTGTCTTCGGGTCGGAAAGATACTCGGTCGGGACAGGTGGTTTGTTACGCAACAGCAGGCCTTTTCCTCCCAAGCAGGACTCATAAATTGAGATGGACGTAATCTTAAAGACGCAATCAAGACATTAACGACAAAGGGGGGATTTGAGTTTTGCACGCAACTTTGCGTGTTAGGACGTCCGAGCAGTACCATATAAAGAAAAAAAGTTATTAGCTGGATATGCGCGCATGCCCGAAACAGAACTTTAGACACTAAATGTTGTTGAAGATGTGAAGTATTTTCCCACTTTGTTTTGTGTTCTGTAAGAAGACTAAAAAGTTATTTTAACGTTGACGCTGAGCTGCGTCGTTACCGGCAAATTACCGAAATTAAAAGTAGGCAAATAGCAAATGATAATTTACCATAGTTTCAAAATTTTGCTTTGCAGTTCAGTTTCTTTTAGAAGCGTGATATAAATGTAACGTGTAATCATATTTTTAAAAAGCCGGTCAAGGGGTATCCTGGGGAGCGAGTTAATCTCGTCATTTGCGTAAACAACCAAAGTATACTTTCTGTAAGGAGTAAGGATCTCAATTAGTGAGTTGATGTAAATAACTTTTTTCGACTGTTTCTGAAGAAGTGCAGTTTTACATTTCTAAAGATTAGTCTCATTCTCATTTGCTTTTCTTGTAATCTTTGCGCTTTCCCACTGATTGTAGGAGTCACCTAGCGACTTATTGAGAAATCGCACCCTTTAAAGCGCGTAGCAAGTGGCTGTGATTCTACTCTGATAGCAGCTGCTCTTTTCTTACCATGCTGTAGAAAATTAATATTAAACGCGAGAATGTAAAAAAAAATGCCTGCAGGTATAGAGTTTACGATAATCGTACTTTTTCTCACATTACATCTAAAATGCAGCGCATTTTCTGCTGGCCATCTTGACCTGAAAATGTGCACTCATCAAACGCTTCAAGCCACTCCCAACATCAAGCTGTTCCAATATCTTTTTAAAGTAAGAAGGAACCATACTTGGTCATCAAGGTGTAACGGTCGGATTCAGGAGAGGGTAAAGTTTTGCGCAGATAACAGGCAGTCCCAGGTCGGTCCCATTTGGCTTACTCACAAACGGTAAAACGTTGTCCACCTGCCGTTATCGGACCAGAGCTCACGGCGCCTACCAATTGTCATCCTCGCCAGCGGCCAATCTATAAAAACAGTTGGCACTTCACGATGGTCAGATTTGGGCCCAAAAGTCCCACTCCGCTACTATGGAGATCGAATCCCCCGAACCCGCGAATCTTGTTCGATATGACGTCATTCGAATAGAGCGGGCGTTCGATCTGGGGTTACCCGCGGTCATTTACAGTAAAGCCGCTACAACCGGCTACTTCAAGCCCTTTTTTACTTGGGAACCACGGAACAGGAAAAATTCACCTTTCCACAAATATGAACCGTTTTCAAAACATTACATCTATGCCGTGATTTTTTTGTGGATATGTAACATGTAACGAAGCTACTGCCGTCATCGTGGGTGACCTTGAAGGTCAGAATTCTTGTTGACGCTGTTATAAAATCCAGATCCCCATATCCAAGTGGCACAGCATGCGTGCAAACATGGTATTTTAACCATTCCCTAAAATCGCTCAAATTACCTCATTGAGGGCTTGTTTGGAAGAGCAACGATTTCCGCAGATTTCTGTCTTAGGGATTTTTAAATATGGCCGCGATTATGAATTATCGGTATTTAAAGTTAAAACACTGTACGTTTTTAGCTCTTCTTTTGACTGTAAGTCGAGTTTTAGTTAAAATAAAAAATCCTAAGACAGAAAGTTTAAATTTACTGTAATATTTCTAAAAATCCAAAAATCTAACCTTATTTTTAATTTTCGGGGCCTCTTAAAATCAGTTGTTTGGTTCTCGTGAACCCTTTTTGAAATCCGAAATTGATCTCATTTGGAAGCAAATGTACACAAAGTGGAGCAAAGGCAGTGCAAGAATAACATTTGAGGTAAACAAAATCACTTATTACATTTTATTTTGACGAGTATTTACTCTCCAATTACTTTTGTTTATTTTCAAATTTTACCCGTTACCTCCGGGCCGGCCTGGGACTCCCGCGCGGCCACGTTCGAACACGTTCTGTAACCCGATACCTCCCTAGTAATGCGACTTTTAGCCTAGCAACCGACCGCCGTGCTTGGATTGATGGCCATATCATACGCTCATTTTCTGGGCGCTGAAGATCCCGCCAAGATCCATTAAATAGCCCTGCCTTATCGGATGTTGAGTGCTGTTGCTGATTCCCTGTCTTGATATAATGGACCATTCCCCGCGGAATTCCACACACCTCACATAAATCAGGACCTTCTGTGTAATAAACGGCGTGAATCATTTTTCTGCTCCTGTCCTGTTCGGTCGATGAAAAGTTATTATCATTCTCTAGCTCTTTGAAGTTCATGCCTGTGTGGACAGTGATGCGTAAATGGTATATCGGTCTAGGACTTAACCTCTGCAATGCAAAATGGGGTAAATATGCAACACAGGATACCATGCGTTAACTTTTTGCCCCTGATGCAACTGTCAGTTTGTCAAGACGACTCAAAAGTGTTACAACGATCATGGGGGTCAGACGGCCAGCCATAGCTAGAACATCTAAACCGAAAAGTGACGACAAAGAATTATCGATGTTAAACTTCGGAACTTTTCTATTAGACCTCTACATAATTTGTGAGAGAAGGGACTGGCATACCGCAAGCAAGCTTAAAATTGCTAAAGCTGACATCAAAACTGACGCAGACTGAGAATGTCATATTTGAGATACGCTTACATTCGTCCTAGGTCGTCATACGATGTCGTAGAATTTTTAAACAGGCTGTGACAGAAACAGACAGTGACCTAAGACATCAGTCCCTACAGACATCAGACAGCCCTCCAAGCCATAAAGAACCTGCTGAATTTTTTTTACCAATCATATAAGACTATCCCAAGAATGCCCTCAGTTTGGATCGGACGACAATCGTGCCTCAAAAGGCAACCGCTCAAAGTTTTCTGTTTTTACACAGCTTTAGAAGACAGCGCAGTATGACAGAGGCTACGTATATAGGCAGAATGAAAACAACATTGACAACATAACATGGAGCACTGTGTCTGTTCTAACTGGACTCTCCCACCACCTCTTGGATTTCTAAAAGTTGTGTACGCCGTCTGTTCTTATAATCGATGTAAGTGGTGTCATACACACAAAAAAGTTATGATACATCATGTTTATCTCCGCTGCTACTCTTTATGTGCTGTCTGGCGCGGGCTAATCAACGATTGATGTCTTATTCGCGTAGGTGATAAAAAGTCATCAAAGGACTTAAGTACGGTAGGATTTTCTGTCAAACTTCTGGGTGTAAAACGATGGTTTGGCCCGCGGCCGTCATCAGGCGGGATTTGGCCGGTCTTCTCTCCGCAGAGGGCTGGCTGGGAAGATGACACGGCAGATGAGTGGCCTCGTCTCGGCGGCAAAACCCGCGGGATTTCTGCTAGTTTCCTGCAAAGTGCTGATTGTGAGATATTTAGGAAGGCCCGCAATAAACACGGCCAATAAGGAGCTGATTAATGGGGTGGGATGGACCGCTGTCTTGTGTGGAATAGAATCATAAATCTTATCCAGGAAGTACGGTGCCTTACGTCGTTGTAATGAGAACCAAAAGCTTTTTTTCGCAACATCGCCGCGTGCGTGAAGAGCAGAAGGCACACTTAATATGTAGCCGGGAAACAATTTCAGTGAAGAGACTAGCTATAGGCATTTGATAGTTAAAAACTAAGTGCACCACCAAATTTTGTAGATCTCAAGTGACGTGTTTCTGATTTTCAGGTAAAATCAGAAACACGTCACTTAACTGGACGTCTTGATATGCTGCATCTCTCACATCAGGCCTGTCTGAGATATATCACATCCGGGTTTGATTGTTTAATGATTGATGGAATCTGGAGGGAGCCTTGAATGTCAACAGGTCTGCCTATCCCCTTTCAACACAAGCCGGAGAAATGGTTTATATGAAAATGAAATACAATGTCTTCACTGAAAGAAACAAGATTTTCAAAGTAGTTACCAGTCTCAGCTGTGCTTTCTCAGAGATCTAGAGACTTTTGTATTAAAATCACATACGTTAACGTACTAATCATTAAAAACGTGGGATTATCCATGGGCATTAAAAAGTAAAGAAGTAATGTACGTAAAAAAACCACATTTTTTACCTTAGAGTCTTTAGATTCTGTTTGTTACATTGCAAGTAGCCTTTAGACACGAGTTTGTAAACAGATATATAAGAAGCATGAATAAGTGAAAGAGATATAAAACAACGAATGGATTTTTTAAAGAGTTTATTTTTGACAGAAGGAAATAAGATGACCACCACCAATGAGTTGACAATTCTGCACGTATAAAACACACTGCATGGGAAAGGGAAGGTAAGATCGTATGGAGCTGACATGGCCGGCGGAAGCTCATGTCATCTATGACTCATCGTGATAAAATCGAGTTTTGGCAAAGATAGGAAAATCACCTCGCTATCTAATTATTTTATGTAAGTAATGAAGTCGAGAAGAAACTATAAAAAATTACGCCCATTAACACCTATACACCTAATTGTGGCCCCAATTCAAAATTAGTGAACATCAAGTTTCGGCAAAGATATAGAATCTAAGAATCAAATTATGGCAATGATATGGAATCACCTTGCTATATAATGATAAGCTTTTGAAGTGCTCAAATTAAGAGGAAAACAACCACGCCCCTTAAAATATGTCATTGTGACACCTTATTGTATTACTGAAAATCAAGTTTTGACAAAGATCTCAAAAGACATGAAAATAAATAACCTTACTGTAAAATGTTTAGAACTACGCCATTAACGCTATCACACCAAATTACACCTGCGAATTTGTAAAGAAAACAAAATTCGATCGATCTAAATACTAAGTTCTGACAAAGATAAGAAAACCACTTTGCAGTATAATATTTACATCTTAAAGTAATGATATTAAGAGGACTACGTTAAAAATACACCCATTAATACTATACCTCACCTTAGCTTATTGTGGTCCCAAAATAGGCCTGCGGGTTTGTAGTGATGTTTTAATTTAAGTCTAGCGCTATCATATATGTTTGCTGTAAGTGCTATGAAGACCATATGACACTACATGGTTGTGTTGAACGTGGTTGTGATTAAGAAAATAAGGCTTAGTGGGGCCACCCGCTGATAGGTAAGCCAGTTTCGCAGGCCTATTGAGGAATCACTACCCTAACACTAACTCTAAGCTTCACTTTGTCCCATGGGACCATCGGGGAACTGCTCCCAGAAGTCATCATTGAAATAGATCTCGTCCATGTCCAGGTTGTCCTGAAAGACCTCATCCGATGACTCCGAGGCCCGGTCGGTCTGAGAGACACCGGACCCTGCTTTGAAGGAGGTGAAGTCGATGGTGGCCTCAAAGGCGTTCTCGTCCAACTGTTCACGTGGCTGCCCTTGGCGAGAGGATTGGGAACCTACATGGATAAACAGACCATTATGCCCTATCTATTACACAAAGTGTATTTTAAGGGTTCACTCAGGATTGAGCTCAGGATTGGTTTCAGTTTTAAAATCTCGCGGCGGTTACACAATAATAAGTTGATGAAGTCAGTCAGTTCTTGATAAGTTGATCAAGAACTGACGGCTTAACTGCGACTAGCCCGGACCCAGTATATCAAAATGCATAAGGATTAAGAAAAAGTAGAAATAACAGCCGCGTGAATATTTGAAAATTATTGCAGCTTTGCAAATTAGGTGTGCAGATAGAAATCAGATCTATCTATATCTTGTGTAAGTAAAGGAAACAACGATAAGGTACATGTAATGCCCGCAATATTGGTAGTTCGTAGGAACGTAGTTCGGTAAGACTTGACATTTCGTGCGACAATGCAAAGTGAATACAACCACTATACACTATATATACAGGCCTAGGGGTTTGCTTTTGACGGGACGTCATAACAATGGAAGCATATGCATTCTGTATATACCGAACATAGCAACTGTAAGAGGAGTTAAGGAGGCCGTCTACATCAGAGCACCAGCTTTCTATCAATCGGGATGGTGGTGTGCATGTGTGTGTGTATGGGGGGGGGGGGTATGTGTGTGATATAGACTTACTACAACCTTTGACCCAGTCCTGACATCACAGAAGCACAAAGTCACGTGCCCTGAGCTATTAATTGGTCGAAAATCTGACTGGCTAAATTCCATTTCCAACCAAACAGTTACATAATAAACCAACCCAGATTAACTTCCATGCTGGTAAAGGGATGACTTATTTCATACAAACCATAACCACGCTCCTGATCTCCAAACGGCATTTCGGCAAACTGTCTCCGCGGTGGGCGGGAGGCGAGCGTGTCGTACGGATACCAGTCACTCTGGTCAGCCATGGTCTGACTACGGTCCCGAGAGGGCAGGTAAATGCGATCACGCCCTAAGTTAGGGGCAGCCATCACATATGGAGAGAACTGAAGTTGGGAAAAAATGATTTTTTCATAAACACACTAAATTGTTACTCTTCTGCAACGATATATTACATTGAAAGAATGACAAAATGACAAAATTGAAAGACTCTTAAGTCTTATTTCGTATTTTAAGTATCATTACGATGTTCAGTTTCATAAATGCCTTAAAGGTCATTAAACTCCTGACAGTTCTTTTAAAAGACACTATTAAATGTTAACCTGTTGCATTTGAAGGCCGCGCCAATCAACGGGATAGTACGATGCCGGTGAAGCAAACTCGTCCACTGTCCCGTATTTAGGGGCCCCCCATGTATCATGCATGGACGTTTTGTAGGCCCGGGGTAGAGGAGGGTGCGTAGCCTCCGTCTCAGCGTCCTGTCAATGCAAATGTAAAAGTCACACATAGAAAAAGCGCCTGGCTTTTGTCAACTAGTAGATACAAATGTACATACGTACAGAGCAATAGAGAAGTTGGTTTAAGACACTATTCTTTGATGGCATTTCAGGGGCGTATTGGATTACACATACCGTTAAGTTCCGCTAGATGGTGCTTTTAACTGAACGAAGCAAAAAGCAAAATATAGGTAACGGACTTCGGAGTTCCGTACGCCCTTTATTTCAAAACAACGAGGAATGAAATGTTTTTACTTCAATCACATCACATCATTTCATCTACCTACTAGTGTTAACATAGACTTAGTAACATAGACTTGGTACATGTATTCACCCTAGATGGGTTATTGAGGTCTACATGTATATGTGATCAGAAGACAACTTGTGCAGTACCTTAAAGATTTCATTGACGGCGCGCCTGTAGAGCGGGATCGACAGATAGGCACTGCGGTCATGCAGCGTTTGAAACTTGGTAAATGGTCGGGCTCTCTTTGCTTTAACCTTGTGCATGAAACATATCCAACGGCAAGTTTACAAGGATGCCGTGACATGGCAAAAAACGGTCGTAAGCTGCATTTTCACAGATTTTGAAGTTAATTGTTTAAACGTAATAAACAATGGAACTATATAGCCATATATATATTATCGATATCTCAGATAAGTAACTTTTCATTGAATGTAGCATATGAAGAAAAATAGCAATGATAAACGGGTTTATCCACAGAACGCCTGCTTGCCTTATCGCTTAGACTGTGCAAGTCAAAAAGAACACAGAATCTTCTATGAGTGTCGCTGACAGTTTCATTTCGACAGTAAAATGTTGTTAAGCATAGGATATATGGTAGGTTAAACACTTAAAGCGCTTCTTTGAGTGCTTCTTGGTGCAACGGCAAACAAAATGTCACTTAGACATTATAGTCACGGTCTGTATAATACTTTGGTGTTCAGCTATATATTCATCTATCTATCACAACCCAATGATATCAACCCGCACCCATGGTGACAATACATACCTTGGAGTACAGTCCACTGCCGTACCAACGGACCCAGAGGGCGCTTGCACCGTTCACGGTGGAGACGATGCGGGCCGGCCACCACAAGGTCTTCCCAGCATCCTGGGCCCACACGAGTCCACCCGAGGTAAAACCACTCATCTGAAATACATCCAGATCCAATATGGAACTCAACAGTATACTCACAGTGTTGCCCAAACTTCACCCACCTTTCTACTAGAGTTCACTCAATGAATTTCATTGTGTACAGTCATATGCAAGCTTTTGATGGTAAGTATATAGTTGTCGTGAACACGTCATGATCAATAAAACTTGTGATTTACAATAAAGTACATCAAGGTGTGATATTGACCTGTGTAGCCTTGTTCAGTCGGTCAACTCTGCGCCACTTCACTGGTATCGGCCCCTGCTGCTCAGTTTTGGCCGAGAAGCTCATCTGTGAAATATAGCCAAACATATTCAGCGATAAAAAAACTAGTACCAACTAGAATTCCGAGACCTCATACCTCCATGAAATATGATCTTGATATGTAAATGTAAATTTCTTCTTTAATTGTTCAAATGACCTCTGCATTAACATGATATATGCATCGTGATGTATGTTAACTTTTGATTAACTTACAGATGTCCCAAGTATGACATTCTCATCATTCACCATTACGAAATCATAGAATTTTCACATTAATTATGCAAATTAGGTCATCATTTGCATAATTAGTATCTGTTGAAGTTCCGCCTGCAATAGGTTACATAGTATAATGTAAAACACTGTAATTATAGAATTTCCTCATTAATTATGCAAATAAAGTCCTCATTTGCATAATTTACATTTAATTATGTACATCTCTCTCTCAGCTACCTACACACCAAATATAATGAAAATATGTTGTTCCTGTCTGGACTTATTGGCTTTTAAACATTTCGCCAGAAAGTGCCCTGCAGTTACAGAACAAGCCGCTAGGGGGCCCAAACTCATATGACTTCTTTCCAAGCACGAGAGCTACCTTCCATCAAAATTTCATGACCCTAGCATGTCCAGATCGCGAGATAATGTAAAACACTGTAATTATAGAATTTCCTCATTAATTATGCAAATAAAGTCCTCATTTGCATAATTTGCATTTAATTATGTACATCTCTCTCTCAGCTACCTACACACCAAAAATAATGAAAATATGTTGTTCCTGTCTGGACTTATTGGCTTTTAAACATTTCACCGGAAAGTGCCCTGCAGTTCCAAAACAAGCCGCTAGGGGGCCCAAACTCATATGACTTCTTTCCAAGCACGAGAGCTACCTTCCATCAAAATTTCATGACCCTAGCATGTCCAGATCGCGAGATATCAAAACCGGAAGTTGCGCTGCAGTACCAAGGGAAGCCACTAGGGGGACCAAAATCTAATCATTTCCAGTTTTCGTCACACCCTACCAACACACCAAGTATGAAACCAATCCATCCAGGCGTTCTTGAGTTATCTTGTTGACCAACAGACGGACGGACAGACGGACAGACGGACAGATAAACGCAACTGAAAATATAACCTCCATGACACATTTCATGGAGGTAATAACGTATACATTGTAACATATACATAGCGGAAGGAGGCTCATGTTTAAAGTAATTCTGGCCATAGCTCGGGTTTGACAGACACTACATGCATCTAAAAAACGAGAAAAACTTTTCACTTGCATAAATGAATGTTGTAAAACAATGCATTTCCATGTTTGTGCTCATATAACATTACAACGGTAGCTATAACGTATGGATATACGGTAAGCTAAGCACACCTTTGCCGTAGACGTGTGAGTGGGTTTCTTAGACCCCTGCAGCGCACATAGGAGCAAGATGAAGAGGAACAGGGCTCCCCCTATCGCACCAACAGCGATGAAAAACCGATCAGCTGGAATAGGAAAAGTAGAGACATGTGATTTCCTATTTAGGTCGAAACATGTATATTCAATATTGTTCATTATTATTCAATTTTTTTCCGGTGCCAAAGGTGGGGGACTGATCAGGAAGCCGGAGAAAAGCGAGGTTCAGTCAGGCTAGGTATATAGTAAGAACACTTGATCAAATACAATATTGCAGCAACAGGCGAGTAGTAATTATTGAAACAGCAATGTAACAAATTGGATCATATACGAAATGTACGCAGTGTTAGCAACTATTGCATTGCGTCAAACGTTACATAATATCCTCCAAACATTTTTTGATAAATGATTGGAATGATGCTCACCGCCACAGACCCTGCCGGGACGTGACAAGTTCCGATCTATGAAGCCTGTCGGACAGGAACACGTGTAGCTGCCAGGGGTGTTCACACACTCACTGTGCTGGAAACAGTCGTTACGGCTCTCATCACTACATTCGTCATAATCTGCAAAGAAAAGAACAAGGAACAAAAAACAAGTGAGACTCTGAAGGAAAAAGAGTGGAAGATCATGATGCTTGTGACATCTTTCCAAGCAAGAGGACGTTACTTTACTCAAATAATTTTTT